CATACAAAATTGGTTGCAGTTAGGATTTAACCAATATAAAAGTCCATAATGTTTTACTTTCCCACTAAAGTCTGACTCTGGACAATTTTTGGGGATATGATCCCTGCCAGTGGCGTAACAATCACCATAGCGACCCAGGCGGCCCCTATGGGGCCCGAGGCGCAGGGGGGCCTGGCCAGATGCCGTGCGGGCCGCCTGGGATCCTCTGCTGGTGGCTTTCACTGGCGGCTGAAGACGAACACGCCACTGTTCATTCTATGGTGGGCTCTGCAAGTTCACCCTCAGGTGGGATCTCGAGTGGGCTCTGCAAGGGGTATAACTAGAAATCATGGGGCCCCATACAAAATTTCGCTATGGGGCCCTGTGATTTCTAGTTACGCCCCTGATCCCTGCAGCATTTTTTTCCAACACAGCATCGCACAAGACACATGGCACACAATGCATGGCATGTGCTCATTGGGCTCTGCAGCACCGGGTCTATTGGCACCTATTGTACCTGTGCGTTGGGTTGGCATTCTAAACGAACACCCCACACAAAGTGCCATTAGTTACAATGGGCTGCAGTAATGATCAGTAACATTCACATTACCAGTAAGTTTACTTATTATTTATTCAGACTCTCAGATGAGAAATAATTCATCATTGGAAAAAAAAAGCAATGTCTAAATCCCTAAGGTCTAAACTTTCCGTGGCCAAACCGCAGGCCTTTGATTCTTATTGTACAACTGGTGGGTCCCAGAAGCAAATAGAGGGATAGTGAGGCTGTAATTGTAGTGATATCCAGTATTCTTGTGTAATGGCAGTGATCTCTAGCAGTCTTGTGTAATCTCCAGTAGTCTTGTTTAATGGTATTGATCTCTAGCAGTCTTGTGTAATCACAGTGATCTCTAGTAGTCTTAAGGTGCCCATACACCTTACAATTTATCTGCAGATTTTCTGTGGTCAGATGGAAAAGGTGCAACAGGTTCCTCCATCTACGCTAAACTGTGTAGATGGAGTAATCTCCCACTGGGCCAATCCGTTGCACTTTTTCCATCTGACCACAGAAAATCTGCAGATAAATTGTAAGGTGTATGGGCACCTTAAGACTACTAGAGATCACTGTGATTACACAAGACTATTAGAGATTACACAAGACTGCTAGAGATCACTGCCATTACACAAGACTACTAGAGATCACTGTGATTACACAAGACTATTAGAGATTACACAAGACTGCTAGAGATCACTGCCATTACACAAGACTACTAGAGATCACTGTGATTACACAAGACTATTAGAGATTACACAAGACTGCTAGAGATCACTGCCATTACACAAGACTACTAGAGATCACTGTGATTACACAAGACTATTAGAGATTACACAAGACTGCTAGAGATCACTGCCATTACACAAGACTACTAGAGATCACTGTGATTACACAAGACTATTAGAGATTACACAAGACTGCTAGAGATCACTGCCATTACACAAGACTACTAGAGATCACTGTGATTACACAAGACTATTAGAGATTACACAAGACTGCTAGAGATCACTGCCATTACACAAGACTACTAGAGATCACTGTGATTACACAAGACTATTAGAGATTACACAAGACTGCTAGAGATCACTGCCATTACACAAGACTACTAGAGATCACTGTGATTACACAAGACTATTAGAGATTACACAAGACTGCTAGAGATCACTGCCATTACACAAGACTACTAGAGATCACTGTGATTACACAAGACTATTAGAGATTACACAAGACTGCTAGAGATCACTGCCATTACACAAGACTACTAGAGATCACTGTGATTACACAAGACTATTAGAGATTACACAAGACTGCTAGAGATCACTGCCATTACACAAGACTACTAGAGATCACTGTGATTACACAAGACTATTAGAGATTACACAAGACTGCTAGAGATCACTGCCATTACACAAGACTACTAGAGATCACTGTGATTACACAAGACTATTAGAGATTACACAAGACTGCTAGAGATCACTGCCATTACACAAGACTACTAGAGATCACTGTGATTACACAAGACTATTAGAGATTACACAAGACTGCTAGAGATCACTGCCATTACACAAGACTACTAGAGATCACTGTGATTACACAAGACTATTAGAGATTACACAAGACTGCTAGAGATCACTGCCATTACACAAGACTACTAGAGATCACTGTGATTACACAAGACTATTAGAGATTACACAAGACTGCTAGAGATCACTGCCATTACACAAGACTACTAGAGATCACTGTGATTACACAAGACTATTAGAGATTACACAAGACTGCTAGAGATCACTGCCATTACACAAGACTACTAGAGATCACTGTGATTACACAAGACTATTAGAGATTACACAAGACTGCTAGAGATCACTGCCATTACACAAGACTACTAGAGATCACTGTGATTACACAAGACTATTAGAGATTACACAAGACTGCTAGAGATCACTGCCATTACACAAGACTACTAGAGATCACTGTGATTACACAAGACTATTAGAGATTACACAAGACTGCTAGAGATCACTGCCATTACACAAGACTACTAGAGATCACTGTGATTACACAAGACTATTAGAGATTACACAAGACTGCTAGAGATCACTGCCATTACACAAGACTACTAGAGATCACTGTGATTACACAAGACTATTAGAGATTACACAAGACTACTAGAGATCACTGCCATTACACAAAGCTGGCCATACACCTTACAATTTATCTGCAGATTTTCTGTGGTCAGATGGAAAAAGTGCAACGGATTGGCCCAGTGGGAGATTACTCCATCTACACAGTTTAGCGTAGATGGAGGAATCTGTTGCACCTTTTCCATCTGACCACAGAAAATCTGCAGATAAATTGTAAGGTGTATGGCCAGCTTTGTGTAATGGCAGTGATCTCTAGTAGTCTTGTGTAATCTCTAATAGTCTTGTGTAATCACAGTGATCTCTAGTAGTCTTGTGTAATGGCAGTGATCTCTAGCAGTCTTGTGTAATCACAGTGATCTCTAGTAGTCTTGTGTAATGGCAGTGATCTCTAGCAGTCTTGTTTAATGGCAGTGATCTCTAGCAGTCTTGTGTAATCACAGTGATCTCCATTAGTCTTGCGTAATGGCAGTGATCTCCAGTAGTCTTGTGTAATGGCAGTGATTTCTAGCAGTCTTGTGTAATGGCAATAATCTCCAGTAGTCTTGTGTAATCTCTAGTAGTCTTGTGTAATCTCTAGCAGTCTTGTGTAATGGCAGTGATCTCTAGTAGTCTTGTGTAATGGCAATAATCTCCAGTAGTCTTGTGTAATGGCAGTGATCTCTAATAGTCTTGTGTAATGGCAGTGATCTCCAGTAGTCTTATGTAATGGAAGTGATCTCTAGCAGTCTTGTGTAATCTCTAGTAGTCTTGTGTAATGGCAGTGATCTCTAACAGTCTTGTGTAATGGCAGTGATCTCTAGTAGTCTTGTGTAATGGCAGGGATCCATAGCAGTCTTGTGTAATCTCTAGCAGTCTTGTGTAATCACAGTGATCTCTAGTAGTCTTGTGTAATCGCAGTGATCTCTAGTAGTCTCGTGTAATGGTACTGATCTCAAACAGTCTCCTGCTCCCAGTTTTCTAGTTACAGATCTCTGGTCTCTAACCACTCCTGTACCACACCCCCAGTCTCTGACCATCTCCCATTGTATGTCCACAAGCACTACAAAATATCTTTCACATAACATACAGTATGTGGCATATTATGTGTGGCCACTTCTGGATCTCCACGGCTGCTGTTAAGTCCCCCTATGTCCAGAAATGTGACAACCAGTGAGTTAAAAACATATGCAATTGAATAGGGGGGAGCTCAGTGGACTGGAGACCATTTCCACAATTATGAGTTTTAAAGGGAATCTAGTGACACTCATACACACTGAGCTAGTTCCCATTGCTGTGCTGATCTAATCTACACGACGACTCAGAGCACGCTGGCCCCATGCCTCCCCGGACGGGATGGGAGTTGGGGAGTGTGTGAAAGTCACAGAGTTGGATGTACATTTGTATCCAAATACTTATGGAGGACAATGAAGCTTTTGACACAAGTTGGAAAAAGAACCCAGCTGCAGCATGTAGCTTTATTTATTAATCATGAAATCGTATTGGAATTCCTTTGTGTTTAACTGCTTTGTGACTGCAATATTCCTTATTAAAAGGGAACCTGTGCTCTGACCACGTGCACTTATTAATATATTTATAAAGAGCAAACCGGCTTGGAGGATCAAGAGAGTACAACTTTTTTTTATTTTTTAGTCCCTAGACAAAAACAAGCAGTTAACCCTTGCTGTGTGGGGGTAGCCCCATTGCAAGGGTAACCATCACTTTTCCTGGAGATGTTCTTAAGGTACACTTGCCGCTTTAGCAGCTATTGATACCCTTGGAGGTAAAATCACCACCTAAAAAAAATTATATATAATCAAATGGGTGAAAGAAAATACACCATATTTTGATTTATTTATTTTTCTTGCACGCATATATAAAAATATATAAACTTAAAGAATTCTTATAGGGATTGATTTTTACATAAGTGCGAGTTGATGGGGAATGTTATATATGTTATCTGTATGACCCTTCATATAAGGTATAATGTGTACACAGACTGACTTGATCTCTTACGTGTTGCAAAATATGTAACCTGTATGTTGCCTTCTTTTTCTTTTTGTATTCCTGTGAAAAATTAAATAAAAATCTAAAACTTTAACAAAAATTCTTATAGGATTAAAATCACAGTTTTCCTTCCCTTAGAACCATAATCAGGTTGCTGACGCCGATACAGTGCACAGAGAGGAACGTCAGCCCAATTTTTTTATGTCTTTTTAACAATACAGTAATTGATGAGTTGCAGAGTAGATACGCAGAAAACACATCAGTAGCGCAATGGGGGGAGAGTATCTTCAAATTCAAAAGAGAGTGCGGTCCTCCGATTCCAAGATATGGTCCTGTTCATCTCAATACTCATCCTGGTAGGGACATTTTGGGTGGTCAAACCATCTACGAAGCAATTTAACAGCTTAGATAAAACCAGATAGCATTGGGCTTATGCAAGAATGTGTTCTATTAAGTTGGCCAACTTTATACTGCTGGCATGCATGGTCTTCCAGCTCCTAAGTGTTCATAATAACATCAGAAAACAAAGTCACTTTGTTGCAGGTTTCTAAAACAGAGATTGGGTCTAGGCACATTGGCACATACCAAGCTTCCTTACACAGTCCTCTCAGTATTAAAATAACCCACTGGAATCTAGCAATAGCCAGTTATTAGTTGTATGAGCACTGACAACTGTAAAGAAAAAAATATCAGCCACATTTTTACACCCACTTCCTGGCCAGGCCATTTTTCAGTGTTCAGCGCTGTGTTACTTTGAGTGACATTTATTCAGTCATACAATGCTGTGCTGAAATTAATTTTATATTATTTTTTTGGGACACATAGAGCTTTCTTTTGGTGGTATTTAATCAACACTGGGTTCTTTTTTACTATATTAAAAAGGAAAAATAATAAAAAGTTTTGAAAAAAACATTTTTTTTTACATTATGTTATAATATATTTATTATTACCCAATTTATTGGTAAAATATAAAAGTCGGGGTCACATCAGGTAAATAGACGCCAAACATGTCAAGCCTTAAAATTGCATGCACTCGCGAAATCGCAAAAAAGTACCACACCCAAAATTGACCATAGGCAATGCTATAAAAGCTTTTACCATTCATCAGTTTAGTGTTATCAGTAAATAATGGCCCTAGAAATATTGCTCTCACTCCGACATTCGCAGTGACATTTACCATGTAAGCCCTCACGGGCAGGGCCCTCCTTACCATCGTCTTGAATTGTATTGTGATTGTACTGTCTTTCCTACATTGTAAAGCGCTGCGCAAACTGTTGGCGCTATATAAACCCTGTATAATAAGAATAATAATATTAATGTACGGCGCAATTGTCGTTTTCACGCGTATGCGCACCCGAATAATGCTTGCGTGTGTATGTGTGGACTTTAAAAAAATGTCTGTTTTTTTTAATTCTTTTTTATGTGTGACTAATTTTTTTTTAACTTTTTTTTCTTCACTTAACTTTATTGTTATCACATAGGGGGCTAAGAAGTCCTCTATGTGATAGCAAAGAGGAGGATGTGACAGGTCCCATTTATGGAGACATCAGGGATTGGGGAGGGGGTGCGTACCGACCGGCTCTATAGCCACTGGACCTGCTTTAGAATTCTGACAGTTTCCCCCTCTCGCACGCCGTGCGGTGCGCATGAGTAGGCGGGGCTAACAGGCCATCTTTAGATGGCCTGGTACATCCAAGAAGCTCCCGGCCAGCCGTTTAATTACAACGGCCAGCCGGGAAGCGGTTAATGAGTCAGCTGATTTGTACAAGTCTGAATTGGCAAATTATAAAGAAGCAAATAAAATCTTAACCCTTGCAGTGGGGCTAACCCTGCACCACAAGGGTTAAGTGCCCGTTTTGTCTAGGGAGCTAAAATAACAGAGATATACTCAACCTCTGGGATTGCAGTTCGAGTGAGTATAACGCTGGTACTTTAGCTCCCTAGGCAAAATCAGAACTTAAACCCTTGCAGTGCTGGGGAAGCCCCACTGCAAGAGTTAAGATTTTAATTTACCCGGAGTTTTTTTATATCTCTATGCTTTCCTTTTTGCTTACAGATACAGACTCACCTACATTGAAAGCTTACATCAGCAGAACACAGATTTACTATTAGCGTACTATAGAGGTTACGGAGGTTAAGGTGCATTTGTAGCAAGGTTCCTCTTACCTACAAGGACACCTATACCAGGACACATACAGCACTAACTAACTGAATATATACTCACAGGTGCTTATCAGTGTAACGCATGTTTCTGTCAAGCTCATTGAGCGCTTTCATGTCTTCGTCACTTAGCTCAAAGTCAAATACCTGTAAAGCAAAATATTATTATTAAATTATAATACAGAATTTATATATCACCAACAGTTTGCACAGCACTTTACAATACAAGGAAGACATTACAGATACAATACAAGATAGGAGGGCCCTGCCCGTGAGACCTTACACTCTAAAAGCCAAGCGATACAAGAGATGGTAGCTGTGCAGGAATGAGTTGCTTGAGAAAGTAACAGTTCAGCGGTTAGATTGAGGCGGGATAGGCCCAAACCTAAATACACCACTGCCCCTAGCAACTTCAGCGTGAAATTATAGCTAATTTGCCTACAAACGTCAGGTGGTCATAATAATCTGGCCACTCAGTGTATATATAAATCTATATATAGATCTATCTATATATACTGTATATTAGTTAATAGGTTTGGCAGTCAAAACTATGTAAACAGGCCACAGCTTTTGAGCTGAAATAAGTCAGAATGGGGGTGCAGCTGCTCTATTTAAGCCAAGCTAAATATAAAAGTAAAACAAAAAAAAAATTACACATAAAAAATATGGAATGCCAGAATATGGTATTGGCGATTCTGTCTGAAAATTGAACTGTTACATAACACCACATATAGTTAAATCTGTCTCTCAAGCATGTAATTTTAAGGATTGGGAGGGGTTTTCCATGTCACCCTTGAATACACATTAAAAAAGACTCTCCATGCTATACAACATGTTTTTGCTATGTTAAGCAGATAAGTTTGGGTTTTGTAGATTTCAAAAAGGATTCAATTAATCCCCCACGTATGAAACCGAGAGATTCGCTCATCCCTACTACAGGACTGAGATCCATTGCTGTGGCTCATCCTTCCAGTCACAGAGCCCTAGTGGCCAAGAGAGGCTTTCAAGCTAAAAACTGTTGAACAGTGTAAGGTTGAGCTTGGCTAAAAGGCAAGGGAAGGCTCAGCTCCAAGTCAGGAAGAAATACAGGGACATCTTGGGCAAACAAGGGACATCATGGGCATACAAACATAAAAGCACAGAATTAACAAAGTTAAAAATTACAAAAAAAATACTTGGTTACATCTGCCCCAGTATACAAATGTACCAATCTCATATGTCCACACTTAAAAAAAGCTACAAGGAT